TCCAGAACTGTCTATTGCTTGTACATGTTTTGCAGCTGCAAATGACAAGAAAGACTTCCCTGTAGCAGCTATTGCAATCGCAGTTTCGATAGGCTCAATAATAGTTATCCTATGTGGATATGTTTTCTGGAAATTGTTGGCTAAGCACAGAGGTAATTAATCAAATGAGATTTTAGAGAACACAATCTAGAACTTCCATTTCTGCAAATAGTTTGATTTCTGAATGTCCATTCTAAACCAGAAAGAAAGAGGAAAAGTGAAGCATTCTTAAGAGAAGCATCTCCAAAATTTTACCAAGGTGGCATGATTATAGATGACATCAATCAAGTCAAAATTGAAGATATCACCTTGTACAGCTTTGACATGTTAGCAAATGCAACTGACAGATTTCACTCAGCTAGCAAGCTGGGGCAAGGAGGCTTTGGTCCAGTCTACAAAGTAATGTTTCTTGACACATCTCTAAAGTGTTCCTGACAAGTGCAAAGAATATGAAATAAATTAGATTGATTATCTACAGGGAAAATTGCCAGATGGACAAGAAATTGCAGTAAAAAGGCTTTCACAGTCTTCTGGTCAGGGGCTACAAGAGTTTATGAATGAGGTAGTCGTGATTTCTAGACTACAACATCGTAATCTTGTTAGACTCCTCGGCTGCTGCACAGAAAGAGGGGAAAAGATGTTGGTGTATGATTTCATGCCCAATAGAAGCTTAGATGCATATCTTTTTGGTCAGTGAAGAATTTTCTTTCATTGGTTTTGCCTGTCCTTCTACTTATGTACTTCCAGACTCAAAAGAATTCCATCATACATTTCTCGGTGATACCTTTTCAGGTTCACACCAGGAAAAGTTCGTTGATTGGAGTAAACGAGCCATCATTATTGAGGGAACTGGTCGAGGGCTCCTTTACCTTCACAGAGACTCAAGACTACGAATTATTCATAGAGATCTGAAGGCAAGCAACATCCTGTTGGATGAATACCTAAACCCAAAAATTTCGGATTTTGGCACGGCGAGGATCTTTGGAGGCAATCAAGATCAGGCCAACACTATAAGAGTTGTTGGAACATAGTAAGTTTGTACTGCTTCCTTCATTTTCTCATGGATGAACTGGCATCATTTGTCATTGAGTTTCTTTTTTAATATGTTATGCAGTGGTTACATGGCCCCTGAATATGCAATGCATGGAAGATTCTCAGAAAAATCAGATGTCTACAGCTTCGGTGTGCTGTTATTGGAAATTGTTAGTGGAAGGAAGAACTCTAGTTTTTATGATGATGAAGATGAACTGACTCTACTTGCATATGTAAGTTCATTCTTGCAACTATGAAGCTTTAATGTTCTGCTAGCTCATCAAACCAAAAAATAGAGGAGAAAAATTGTGGAACTTCTGAAAATAATATTTTCGCTGTTTCACAATGTCTTTGTTCATTAGGCATGGAAGTTGTGGAATGAAAACAATATCATAAAATTGATAGACCCCAAAATATTTGATTCAAGCTTCGAAAAACAGATGGTGAGATGTGTACATATTGGATTATTATGTGTTCAAGAATATGCAGAAGATAGGCCAAATGTCTCCACAGTTCTGTCAATGCTCACTAGTGATATCGCTGAACTACCTACTCCAAAACAACCTGCATTTACCGGAGGACATGCTTCACCACAGCAAGTATCTTCTAAAAGCCAAGGGTCCGTGAATGCTGATACCATAACTGTATTGGAACCACGATAGGATGCAGAGTTTTCAACAGGCAGGCAAAGATCATTACTTTCCTTAAAATGGTAACAGTAGCATAGTATTTCTTTCTTTTGAATGTGCATAGGGTAAAACACGCTCCTTTGCAATAACTCGCAAAACACACAAAGAGGTAAAAGTGCACTAGCTATGTGATGAATTAATTACAGGTGAGCAAGGAGAACATGAAACAGTTGATCAATTTTTAACTTTGCATTATGAAAATCCTTAGAAAGAAAGTAGACAAAAGGAAAAAAGAATCGCAAATCCCCAATTAACAAGTTTAAATAATGGCAATCGAAGACTTGAAAATTCATACCTACTGTACTGATACACGAAACAGTGGCGAAAAATGGCCACTCGTTTTACCACTGTTTTTCTTAGAAATTTACAGAGAAGTGAATTGGTGAATTAATCAATGTTGAGGAAAATTTTAGGTCATTCACATAAGTTATTTGGGTGTTGGTTAAAGACTAATTGTTTCATTTTTTTAAAATTTTGCATAAAATAATGTGAAACTTACCTAAATCTCACTAATTTAGGAGTTAATTACTTAGATATATTATAGTTTGTAATATTATGTGTTACCCCCAATTTTGGTGCACTAAGAAACATCCAAATACATGTATTTCTGAATGCATGGGCAAAAATTAGGTGTAAGTTGTTCGAGATACATTGTATCCAATTAGATTCACATGTATTTCGTATACATAAAAAATTGGTTCGCCTCCTTCACTCTCTCCCATATCACTCGCCACTCTCCAATGTATTAGGATACATAATAAATCTCACTCATCTCTCCCTATTTTAGTCTATCTAGTAGCAAAAATACATGTATCCAATTATATCTTCCTCAATATATAATAGTAAACTCTTAATTAGTGGTAATATAGTAATATTCTGAAAATATGGATAATGATGGTATATATGGTAATGATCAATATATCTAATTATATAGTTTCATGTATAAAAATTTTCATAATTTATACATATATTAATTATGTGAAATTAAAAAAATTGATAATCAAATACCGTTCTTAATATGCTGAATTTTACCCCTAAAAACAAAAATACTACCAACATGATTTAGTTATAATATTTAGTACATATACTATATTGTTCTCGCATGTGGGGCTTGGAAACTCTCAAAATAGAAGATTGAGATAACATGACATTTAATTTTTATAATCTCAATATGATTTATTCAAAACGAAAAATCACCACTCATCTATAATATGGCCGAACGAATCAATAGTGCCAGATAAAATGCTTAATTCAAATAATAATTTCATACAAATGCTTCGAGTATAGATGTTCCTAGATAATTGTATACAAATAAAATAGTAAAAGAGAAAAATTCACTCAAAAGACGTAAGTAATTCTTTGGAACCATCTGGATGCACAAGAACCACCACAAGACGGGTCGTGGAAACTTGAGATTCAGTTGATAAACGGTACCATCGGGAATTACTTCAATTCCTCTTGCATTGACTTTTACAAGTTCAAAGTTGGTTTGAGCCTCCTTGTTGCTCTCGTCTACGGCAAATTATGCGATCCCCACAATGTTAGGATCATTTGGGTCTACGGGTGTCTCATCGAGGACTCTCATTGCTGAAGAACAAGTAAAAACAATAACTAAGATTGAGAGACTTGTAAGGAGGACAAAGTTGGCCATTTTTTCTTTTACAAATTGTTAAAAGGAATGATTAACACCAAGTGTTGTAGGGTCTTATTTATAGGAGAAGGAACATTATTAAGAAATAGACTATTTTCTATATAAGAAATGAGAATCCATGGAATGGAGGCAAAAAAAGGAATGCTTTAGTTAATATACTACATATGTCAATTGAAAATAGAGAAAAATAATTACTCCATATATTTTATCAAGAAACTCTATTTATGGGATTTTAATAAATATGTTACTATTTCATGTATGTTTGACTAGATTATCCTCTATCCAAAATTACTAACTTTAAAATCATTTAATTACTCCTATATATTAAGAAAAAAACATAGTGTTCATACTATATGGTACATTTCCCTACTACATGTATATTTACATAAAAATGACCTTTTGTTGGGTAATATCCAGCTACACTTTATTTATTAGGGAGAAAATTAATTATTTTACCTTTTATAGTCCCTTATATATTTCATTATACTTGCAAAAGGTCAATTATTTTACATTTTGTATCTATTTTACTTCATTGGTTGCAGTAGAAAATTAAAATACTAGTACAGAGTTTTTGATAGCTTACTAGAATTTTCTCCGACCCTTAAATTTACTAAATTTAATTCTAATTAATAAATTTAAACGGAGTTAGATTGGGCCGGACAAACCAGTCATACGGCCCAAGGTAAAAGTCCCACTACCGATTTGGGCCAAAATAGGCAAAACAATGAGTTTTAAGGGTCAAAAAGATGAACAGAAATGAAGAAAGATAACAAAACTGAAATACTACAACATTCATGTAAAACAAAATTTTAAAATGTACTCCTTTGCCACAAAATATTTATCATGTTTCGCTTCTCTAGAGTTAAACTGTATAAATTTTAATCAATATTTTAATATGTAAGTTTTACCATATTGATAAGAGAAGAATTGCGGCATACAATAGTTTTTTTGCATAATTTTCAAATATCTAAATTTTAGTTTTAAAATATTAAGCTAATCTAACTTAATTTAGTTTTGAGTATTTTTTTTTTTGGAATCCAGGATAACTCGCAGCCGCTATAACCTCTGTCACAGCCTTTGTCCTTCGGATGAGCAATCTGTGGTGAACACTTTGTGCGCACAGGGTAAACCCCCACTGTGTAATAGCCTGCAAACCACAGGGTAAGCTAATCTAACTTAATTTAGTTTTGAGTATTAGTGGTCACAAATATTGGAGTTTATATATTGGACTGCACTCACTATGAGTTAACCCAGTTAGGGTAAACTCTAAATCGGCATATTCTACCTGAAAGTAGTAGTACGAGATAAACCAAGAGTATACGTCGAACTCAGGGCGGACGACCCAGCACTGCCGGGGTAACAAGGGTATCTAACTTGATCAGTGTATGAAGTCCACCGTGTGCGGTTGCCAGAGATTTGGTTTTGTCCGGAGAGAGGACATTTGCTCTTGTAATTCAATTCGAATTTTCATGATCAAATTAATATTCAAATAAGGTAAAAATTTTAAGTTTAATTCATAATTTCTTGGGTGGTGTAATTTCTTTTTATTTCGTGCAAAGCGCAGTAGTTAAATAGTAACAGAGAAAAAATCACTCAAAAGACATAAGTTCTTTGGAACCATCTGGATGCACAAGAACAGCCACAAAACGAGTTGTGAAATAAACTTCAGATTCAATGACACTAATATTTAGTTGATAAACGGTACCATCAGGAATTGTTTCAGTTCCTCCTGCATTCACTTTTTCAAGTTCAAATTTGGTTCGAACCTGTTTGTTGCGCTCGTCTACAGCAAATTTTGCGATTTTCACAACTTTAGGATCATTTGGGTCTATGGGTGTCTCATCGAGGACTCTCATTGCTGAGGAACAAGTAAAAGCAATAACTAAGATTGAGAGACTAGTAAGGAGGACAAACTTGGCCATTTTTTCTTTTACAAATTGTTAGAGGAGTGATTAACACCAAGTGTTGTAGGGTCTTATTTATAGGAGAGGGAACATTATTAAGAAATAGGCTCTTTTGTGTATATATATAAGCAATGAGAATCCATGGAATGGAGGCAAAAAAGGAATGCTTTAATTAATACACTACATATGTCAATTGAAAAATAGAGAAAAAAAATTTACTCCATATATATATTTTATTAAGAAGTTCTATTTATGGGATTTTAATAAATATGTTACCATTTCATGTGTGTTTGACCAGATTATCCTCCATCCAAAGTAACTAACTTTAAAATCATTTTTTCATTACATTTTATTTCTACTTCATTGATTGCAGTAGAAAATTAAAATACTAGTAGGAGTAAGTTTTTTGAGAGCTTAGTAGAATTTTCTCCGACAATTAAATTTAATTATGGTTAATATATTTAAAAGGAGTTAGATTGGGCCGGGCAGATGTGTTATATGTTCAACCTCATAATGGCTTCGAGCAATCTCGTTTTAGTTGTGTGGTTACGAGGAGGTAATGGTAATTCTAGGAAACAAATTGTAGAGATTAAGAAAATAACTGAGGAGATTAGGAGAAGCTCGAATACTATAGACCTTATAAAATTAGACTACTTCGTAGAGATTTAAGTCATGCTTATAAAAATGAAGAGATCTTATGGAAATAAAAATCTAGAGCTTTATGGTTAAAAGATGGTGATAAAAATTCCCCATATTTTCACATGACTACTATCCAGAGGCGAATAAGAAATGCTATTAAAGGTTTTCAATTAGACAATGAAGAACGAGTTTCGGATCCGGTAGGCATTATAAGGACAATAGAGCATCATTTATGACAACTTATTTAGATCATCTAGGCCGACAGAGCTTGAAGAGATTATTTCTTACGTACCTGTTTCACTTAATGAGTCTATGAATATGAGACTTGTTAGAGAAGTGTCAGATGCTGAAATTAAAAGTGTTGTCTTTTCGATGAATCCCTTGAAATCACCTGGAATTGACGGCATGACCCCTTTATTTTTTCAAAAATATTGACAGATAATTGGTAAAGACATTTGTGAGGCCGTCAGAAGTTTTCTCTCTATGGGAATCCTAATATCGGAATGGAGTCAAACTTTAATTACATTGATCCCTAAAGTTAAAATTCCTACATCTGTTGCTCAATTTAGACCTATAAGTTTATGCTCTACCGCATACAAAATAAATGCTAAAGTTTTAGTGGCTAGAATGAAGGAAGTCTTATCCATGGTAATTTCTCCAAATCAGTCGGCCTTCATAGGTAATAGCCACGTTACTGATAATGTTGTGTTAGCTCATGAATTTCTCCATTTGCTCAAAAAACAAAAAAAGAGGAAAAGAGAAATTTGTGGCCATGAAACTTGATATGTCTAAAGCCTACGATAGAGTAGAATGAATTTGTGTTAAGGAGATGCTCTTAAAAATGGGTTTCGATAAAAAATTTGTGGCTTGAATTATGGAATGTGTCACTTCTACAACACATCGATTCAATATAAATGGAGAAATTGCGGGAGGGATTAAACCAACAAGGGGTCTAAGACAAAGTGATCCATTATGACCTTACTTGTTCTTGATTTGTGCTGAAGGTCTATCAACACTTCTTAAAAAGGCCGAGGAACAAGATCAAATTCGAAGCTTGAGTTTAAATAGAAATGGTCCTACTATTTCACATTTGCTCTTTGCTGATGATTCCTTAATTTTCTGTTCAGCCACTAATCAAAGTGTTAAGGCGGTTGTAGATGTTTTAAAGATATATGCCAAGTGTTTGGGCCAGGTGATTAATGTAGACAAATCTGTTGTTTATTTTAGCAAGAATACTTTAGAGGCAGAAAAGGAAAATATTTATTCAATATTGGGACAACGCCAAGGAAATCAAATAGGTATGTATCTGGGATTACTGACTGTGATAGGAAGGTCTAAAAAGAATATGTTAGATTTTATTAAGGAAAGGGTGCGAGCAAAAAATAAAGGGTGGAAAGGAATATTTTTAAGTCCGTCTGGAAAAAAAGTTATGTTAAAGGCGGTTTTAACCGCTGTACCCACTTATTTTCCAACTTCCCGAAGGATTATGTAAGGAAATAACCTCCATACTTTCAAATTTTTGGTGGAGTCAGGGGGACGGGAAGAGGAAAAGTTATTTTGAAAGATGGGATAAACTATGTGAACCAAAAACTTGTGGGGGGCTAGGCTTTAGAGATATTAAGGCTTTTAATAAAGCTATGTTGGCAAAATTGGCTTGGAGAATTTTGCTTAATCCAGACTTACTTCTATCGAGAATCTTGAAGAGTAAGTATTTTCCAAATGTTTCTTTCCTAAATGCTACAGCAACTTCTTCAGCGTCTTGGATTTGGAAAAGTATAATTTGGGGTCGGAAATTATTAGAAAAAGGGTTAAGATGGAGAGTAGTTATCGGTGAGAATGTTTATGTTTGGAAAGACCCCTGGATTCCTAATTCCATTGATTTTAAACCTCAAAGAACTAATGCTCCTGAAAATTTAGATCTAAAAGTGGTTGACCTTACAAATGTTGAATCCCAGACTTGGAAGATGGATGAATTGAATAACCTTTTTTGCTTAAATGATATTGATAAGATTTTGACTATTCCTTTATCTACTACATGTTCTAGGGATAAAATAATTTGACACTTTACAAAATCGGAAACTTATGAGGTAAAATCAGGTTATCACCTTTCAAAAAAAATAAAATAAGCATGGTGAGGGATGTTAGGGGTAATATTGCTCAATCTAGTAATCACGTTTTTCCAAAAGTCTTTTGAATTTTTTTATGGGAAATGAAAATAAATGGAGTAATAAACATAAACATTTTCTAAGAAGGTGTGTGCTTAATACCTTACCTGTAAACAATATTATTAAGAAGCGACTAAATCATGTCAATAGTGTTAGTAAAAGATGTGGTTTAGAAGATGAGACCGTGGAACACATGCTTTTCAAGTGTCGGGACTCACAAATAACTTTAAAAATGAGCCCCATAAACTGGAATGATCTTGCCAATATTCCTCACTTTTCTTTGTGGTGGAAGGAAAAGATTAATACGACAAAAAATGTCTCAATTCTGCTAGTGTTTTGAATTTGACAGTAATGATTATGTGGTATATTTAGAAGTCTAGGAATGCTTGGAGTTTTAATAACAAATTAACCGACTCTCCAGACATAGTGGCGAAAACTTTATCTGAATATAATGAATATCTTGATATAGTGCTTGCAAACTCTTCAAATGCAAATTTTCAAGAGACTTCAGACTATCAAGTAAGAGTTACCGAAGATGGGATATGTTTATTTGTTGATGCAGGGTTACAGGTGAATCAAATAAGGCAAGCATTGGTTTGGTTGCTATGAATAACAAGAGTGTTTTACTTCATGCCCATGGATCCCCAATCCAGTTTGTTGGGAAGTCTATGATTGTTGAAGCGTGTGCAATAAGAAAATGTGTGGAAAAAGCGATACAACATGGATGGAGGAAGCTTTATGTCCTCTCTGATGCAAAAGGTGTTGTAGATGTATTGAGGAAAAACGTGAAGACTACGTGGGACATAGATGTAGTTTGTGAAGATATTTGGAATATATTTGCATCTCTCGAGCATATCGTATTTGTACATATTCCTAGAAGGTTTAATGTTGTAGCTCACAACGTAGCTAAGTTCTCAATTTCCTTGTTATCTGAATTTTCTTGGGAAAGACTATTCCCAACTTGGATTGTAAACGATGTTGAGCTTTCCTTTGGACAGACTATGTCTAGAATGAACTAATATATGGCAGTTTTTGGGTGAAAAAAAATAATTTGATGCGCGAAAATGAGGGATTTTGGAGATTTGTAAAACTTATAGGGGATAATGGTAATAAGTAAACTAAAATGTGGGATTTCTGTAATTTTTCCAAAAAAAAATGCCTCATATGTTAATCCATACCTTTCTAGGTGTTCAAATGGCTCATGATTTTAAGAGTAGCAGTTAATAGGGCCGAAGGTATAAGTCCCTCTACGGATTTGGGCCAAGATAGGCTAATCAATGAGTTATAGGGTCAAAAATCGATAGACGGGTTGTGATTAATCAATACCTTCGTCGATACACTATTTCCCCCTAAATTCAACAGGATCCAAGCAAGAAGGATTGAGAGGTAACATGGGCAAATCCCCGAGGATTGCAGAATGGTTTATTCCTATGGACAAATGTTAAATTGATCCAAAAAGATGAGCAGAAAATTTCTACAACATTCAAAGAGTTTGAGAGCTGAGTGTAGAACAAATCATGTTAAACAAAATTTTAAAATGTACCCCCTCGTCCTAAAATATTTATCATGTTTCGCTTCTTCAGAGTCAAAGTACACGAACTTTGACCAATAATTTAACATGTACTTAATTTTTATCATATAGACATGACCAGCTTACAATAATTTTCGTAGATTTTTCAAATATCTGAATTTTAAGTTTTCAAAGTAGAAGTATGAGATAAATCAAGCGTATCCATTGAACTCAGGGCCGACGACCCAGCACCGCAGGGGTATCTAACTTGGCTAATGTGTGAAGTCCACCGTGTACGGTTGCTGGAGATTTGGTTTTGTCCGGAGAGAGGACATTTGATGTTGTAATTCCGGTTTTCATTCCCCGTCAATTTTAGCACCAAATAGTGAGTTGGGACTTCAATTCAAACCTAACAGAAACTAACTGAATTGGGGAAGGGATTTATAACCATCTTTCGAACAACTCCCTTGTTCAATGACTACTTTACCCTTACCAACTCTACTCCAAAATAGCTTATTAACTATTTAATTACCACCAAAGTGTGTGTGGAGTAATGGATGAGGTTGCTCTGATCCTTCCTTAATCAAAGGTCTCACATTGAGTATGAAAAATCTTTGATTGCGATCGCTTTCCCCGAATAAGGCAGTACACGGGTTTTTTTTTATCTACCTCTCAATAGGAACCTAGATGAAGTTTTGACCATC